GGGCCAAGGGACACAGCAAGTGCCAGGTGGGTCCTTCTGAGGATGCAGAGCTTCACCAGCTCTGACAGGGAGGAGGACAGAGCCTGGGAGGTGGCCTCCAGTGCAGTTGACCTTGCAGGGACCTCCCCCGAGGGGCCCACTGACCCTTGTTCTCTTCTTTTCCCAGGGCCATTGAGTCCTTGGGCTTCTGTTTACCTACATTTACTCAGAGAGGCTTAGGCTCAGTGACTTCAGGGAATGTTCTGGAATCTTCCACCTGTGACATTTAGAGCTACTTGTGAACCAGCAAATCTGAATTATTACTGAGTCCACTGAAATGGGCCACTTGCTGGGGAAAGCACGAAGGAGCAGAGCAACTATAGGTCCATGTGGGTGGCTCCCTCTTGGGGTCTGGGCACTGGGAAGTTCACCACTAGTGTCCCTGTGCCAAGGAGCTCCTAGCCCTACAGGGGGAAGGGGATACATGTGCAGGTGACATGGAGGACGATGGTCTTCCTCTTGGGCTCCTAAGGTCCTATCCCAGGGCAGAAAAGATGGAGGTCAGGAAAGGACAGGAGGGGAGCAGGCTGAGTCAGGCAGAGGCTGAGATGGGGTTAGGGGGACCTGAGTGACCCACAGGGAGCCTAGGACAGGACAGGCTGGTGCAGCAGGAAGGCCCTGGTGAGGTCCTGTTGGTAGGAGGCTCCCACGTGGGGCCTGGCTGCAGCCTGGGGTGGGGCAGCAGGACCTCAGGGCCCCTCTGCTTCTCTGCCCTCCAGGCCCTGCATAAGGCTGTGCTGACCTTCGACAAGGAAGAGACAGTGGCCGCAGGGGATGCCAAATGGGAAGAAAACACCTTGTTTAAGGCCCCCACTGTCCAGTTCAACAGGCCCTTCTTTCTCATCATTATGGATGAATACACCAACTTTCCCCTCTTTGGTGGCAAAATAGTGAATCCCATAGAGAAATAGCTGGTCTCAGGCTTCAGCCCCTCCCTTCCTGGCCAAGCCACCTACTTGGTGACATTAAACAGGCTGGTTTGGGCAATGTCTGCAGGTGGCCTCCAAATCCCGCACCTGTGGTCTCTGTGTCTCCCTGTGTCCTGAGGTCATGAGAGGACTCCAGGTCACAGCACCTCTCAGTGACACTGTGTCAGGTGTGTGCTGGTCAATGGTGACAGGCTGAGGCCACGTCCTGCGGGCCCTGGGCATGTCCATTCTGAGATCTCCAGGTCTGTCTGGGAATCCTGAGGGGGTCTGTGGCCCAACCGCAGCCCAAGGCCCAGGGTCCACCCAGCACCCCATGCCCCCTCCCACCCATCGCTGGAAACACCCACCCAACAAGCCCCTCCCTGTTGGTCAGCCTTTGTGCTCCTCTGACTAAAGACCCAATCACGACAATTTCAGAGGAGGAAACGTTTACCTGGGGCTCACAGTGGCAGAGGTCGCAGTCCACACACAGCCAGGTCCATTCCTCAGGGCCCAAGGTGAGGCTGACCCCCATGGAGGAAG